ATAGCCTATGCAGACGATATTGCTGTCCTACAAAGCGATAAGTTTGAGAACACACATTGTGAGAGATTACAAGTTGATCTCCGACTAATAGAAATAAGGTCAAAATAGAACACTCACTATCTATTAATCCTAAGAAGACAGAGATGGTCCTCTTTACTAGAAAAAGAAGAATCACGGGCTTATTACCCCCAGGGATTCTAAATGTACTAACTGCTGCAATGGAGTTGATCATTGTCATCACGCCTCTAGACTTATATAGGTATCACAGAGCCGACGCTGGTGAAAATGATGCGACTGCGCTTAGCTGGTGCAAACCTTGATGTAGGAATGCGACAATTGAGAATTGGTTTCTGGTGGGGAGAGCTGGATGTGCTACCCCTGCTACAGGCAGGCTTCGACTCAATTAAACAAAAGTTTATCTTTGATAAGCCCTACAAAATCAAAACAAGACAGTATAGGGAGACAAACGTATCAAATGCCTATTGCATATACACCGATGGCTCTAAAATGGAAGAAGGCTCAGGATGTGGTATATACTCCAGATCACTGAAGCTAAGAATAAAGTAAAGTATGGGCAAAAATTTCAGCGTAGTTTAGACAGAACAGATAGCAGACAAGCGCTACTAGCTTTGAATAGACCACGTGTCACATCAGGGTTAGTAATGGAGTGTCACGAGTCACTAACTCAAGCTTCGAATGATAATATCATACTGAGGTGGGTTAAAGGACACGATAGGAATAAAGTCAACCGCATTGCTAATCAATTGGCTAGGAAGGCTCTTAGGACCTGGGGATCTTTTTGGTTGATCAACTATAACAATTGCTGGGGGCTAGTAGACACACCTCTATGTAGGAAGTGTGAACGAGAAGACGAAACTGAGCATGTCCTATGTGAATGCCCGGACTTACCGTTAATACGAGAATACGCGTTCGGTGAGTCCGGCTCACATCTGCTCACAAGTCAAATGTCCCCTGGTGACCCTTCCTAGAAATGGCAAGATGGACAATGAGCTAAGGACGACAGCTCCCTGGGAGGATGCACAATGGGTCAATTGTGGACTAAGTGCTGTGGAACTTAACTCGCCTTCCCTACTCTACAGATACAGATGCTTCGTTTCAAAGTTTCAGTATTTTTAAGTTAATGAATAAATTGAACTTTTTTAAATTGGCACATAGTTTAAATTTTTTTTATGGAAAAATCTAGTATTTTACGCGATTTTTTATCGGGTTGCTAAAAAAATTCCTTCTATCTATGTTAAAAATCTTTTACAGATTTTGAAGGTTCTAAAAGGTAGATGAGTGATGATTTTTCTTTTTTTTTAACAATATTTTTTTTACCTGTAAAACGTTTCTTATACATTTTAGAGAAAAATGGTTTAAATAAAAATTAGAGATCTTGAAAAGTTCTTTGGTTTTCAACATTAAAATACATTAACAATTGGCCGAGATAATTGCAAAAAAAACACTTATTTTTGCAGTAATTTATAAATGATATTAACTTTGTTTTTTTTTTGAATAATGATGGTTCGATATTACTCCTTAATCATGATCATTCTGGCTTTACAACCCTGCGTGGGTACACATAAATTTCATTTAAAGTGCACAATATAGAGCTATGGACGCATTCAACGTCCAGAAAATTGGAAAATTTATAAGCCGAAAAATAGATCTAATATTTTTTATGTTATCATTTTATAATAATTTAATAATATCTGAGTACATTCCTCGTATAAAAAAATCTATAATATATTAATTAATCAGTATGTCGAAAATTAATAAAATTATTTTGAATATTTCTGTCAGTTTGGTAAATATTTACTTTTACGAATGTTTACAATTGTGTCGTCCTTTTTATTTTAGATCAATTAATTAGTCTCTGTAGTCTGTATGTACACACACAGTGATCAGCATCCGTGTTTTTTTTAGGTCATTAAATATTGTTTACGTAAGTTTTGACCTCCATGACATTTTTGCACAGTTAAAATTTTGATGATATATACATAATACATAGTGCAGTTAAATTGATGGCCATATTTTTTCTTCCTTCTTTATAATACAGTTTTGTCAGTTTTTCTTTGTTAAATATTATGTTATAGTCCAGTCACTGTGGAGGATAACAGGTCAATACCTCTAATTTTTTATAATTGAATTGATTTTGCTAAAAATTTGGAATTAGGCTTACCTTACTGCCCTCTTCAAAAGTTCTATATGCGCTAGGTGAGTTTTTTATGTAATAAATTCTCAACAATCTCAATAGATCTATTTTGTCCAAAACCAAACCTAACAATGAACAAGAAAGGACAAAGAATTGCATTTATAAAATACCTTGTGAATGCGATCAGTTTTATTTAGGTGAATCATCAAGGCCATTAAATGTAAGAATAAGTGAACATCAATCTTATATTAAAAATAGAGAATTTGATAGATCTCAAATATGTAAACACGCATGGGATAATGAACATAGGGTTCAATGGAATAATTCAAATGTAGTCCTAAAAGAAACGGATGGTAAAAAAAAATCAAACAAGCGGCTCTAATTATGCTAAATGAGGCCAATTGTGTCACAAATTCCTCGGCAGAATGTAGTAGGATCTGGTTACCAATATTGAAAGAGGAAGTTATTAATAAGAAAATACCAGTATTAGTAAGTCAGTAACATATAGAGGATACATCATTTATGTTTTTTTAAATAACCTAACATATAAAATCAGAATTTTGATGTTTGTTGAAGGTAAACTAAATTCACGAACAAATACTTACAATGTCGAGATAGTATTATGAGGTTTTTTTCCTGGTTTTTCCCTCATGATTTACTATGGAATCACTAACAGGAGAATTTTACTGTCATCATGTCATGTGTTTGTCTTTTTGAAGACGAATTACATGCTATGATTTTTTTCTGACGGATATTCTCAAGTTAAAGTTGATTTCATGTAATCGAATGAACTTTCTTATAAGTAAAGTCGTCCCAGGAGCGCAACTCAACAATATTGGCAATATCATTTTAAAGTCGTCTACTTTAAAATGCATAATGTATGTCTGAATTGTCAATATAAATGAGTCAGATAAAATTAAATTATTAGAAAAATTTTTCACTATGTAACAAAAAACAAAATTTGTTTAATTTACTGTTTGTATTTTGAGAACGATTTCCGAAGTGGAAATTGAAACTATTTTTATCTTTAATTGTGGCTTATTCCCAGTTAAATAGTAATTAATTTACAATGTCACAAGAAAATAGCTTCAGAACAATATAGACTTCCAAGTCGAATCTTTTGGTGACCTGTTTTAGTTTCTCGAACTTGGGAACATCCATTTGCCCGTGGGCGCCGCCAGAATTATTTTGAGGTATGCATCCGCATCTACACATACTATTAACCAATATAAAATATAGAACTATACATGTTTAGCTATGTACTTTCTTTTCGGACAGTGGGGTGCAATTGGACCCCCTTGTACCACGCTGTCGAAGGCTATATTTGCTTATGTCCACTTTCGACTTGACGTCCTTGAGTAATTTAGCATACGACTTACTTTCTGACTTTATTATTACTTTTTTTGTTGCTCCCTTTGAGAAATGTGGGGTTTTTTGTTGTCCCACTTCAGTTTCAGATTTTTTCTGATGTTCATGAAGGATCATTATCTCACACTCTGTATCTCAATAGGCATATCTACATTAAGCGCTTCCTTAATTAATTTGGTACATCCATGCAGAGTGTTTTTATCGCAAGTTTGGTTGACCTCTTAACTATACTTACCTCTTTTAACTGCTTAAAGCGGAGAACACATCCAAGCGATCGCGATCGCGTCCACAATGGCTATGGCGATCTCGATTTCTGTAGAAAGCGAACATCGGACCGATAGCGACCTACGATTTCAATAGTATAAATAATATATTGGAAATATAGTTTATAAAATGTGTGATTTACAAGAAGAAACATTTCAAACATTTAATAAAAGGTTTGCGTATACGTTCGTTTTTTTTTTCATTTATAAATTCAGATATTTATGCATTTTATTTTGCAGAAAAACAAAAGAACATTATGACATTAACCTGAGGCGCAAGAAACAAGAAAAAATTTATAAATTGTACCCAGCACTTCGCAGACATGAGAACTGTTTCTATACATATTTTAGAACGAATTTTGAAGGTTTTCATGAAATTTTAGATCAGACAAATAATTACCAAACAACAAACAAATTTGTGGGAACCAGTTGATGCTACACAACGATTTTATTTTTAATACGTGCGTTTTTTAGTCTGGGTGAGACAAGTCGAACAATATATCATATTTTTTACAATTTCAATAAGATTTTCGATATCCATTTTTATTTACATTGACGGGACCACCCATAAACGTAAATTGCTGCGTTCTGAACACTAAACTAATTATATATCATATCGCCGCGATTGCCGTCAAAACGCTGCACAAATTACTTTGATCGCCAGCAGATCGCGATCAGTATGTGTATGTGCTGGTTCACTTATTTGTTATTTGTTTCAGACGAGTCGACTTGCAATCGCCATCGCGTCGTGATCGCTTAGGTGTATTTTCCGCTTTATGCTTTCAAACAACTTTGAGATGCCATTTACTCCACCGTCTTCACATTTATAAGGCATAAGGAAAGAATATAAGCTTAAAAACGTATTTTAAATTGAAATTAAAAAGAAGGATGTAAGTAACAGGAAAAAAACTACACAAAAAGCAGTTCATCAAAGCTTTCTTTTTTCTTTAAATTTCTGGACGTGTTTAACATTTCGTTTATTACAGAAGACTGAAAGAACTACTTATTAAACCAATTATAAATGCTTAAACATCAAAACCTTGTACATATTTGTTATCGCTGTAACTTTTAATATCAACACTACTCTTATTTTCTCGATAAAAGATTAAAAGTTACTTAATGTTGCAAAATGTAATATATATCCAATTTTCTAAGAATTGTGTTTATTGTGTAAATCTATTAGTGTGAATTTAACATGCCTAAAAAAATTTCAGATTCCAAAATTACCGAACAAAATGAGAAGGTTCAACTCAAACGAGAACTGGGCTTGTTCTCGGCAATCAACTTCATCTTGGCCATCATGATAGGTTCTGGGATCTTCGTATCCCCTGCATCGGCTTTGAAATACTCAGGTTCGGTTGGAATGTGCATGGTGGTTTGGGTGTCATGTGGTTTAATCTCATTATTAGGTAAGTATGTATTTTAAGTGTTTAATAGTAAATATTTTAAGGGGACAGTCTCATGCGATTAAAAAAAAAGACACATTTTAAAATTAAAGCAGAAAAAAAAACTATAATATTTATTAACATAATTCCTTTTGGAGATGATTAAGTAAGTCTTGAAATACATAAAAAAAATTTTTGATAGCGATTTTAACTTCATTATTGTCCTGTAGATGGCGTGTAGTAAAAAGTGCGTTTTTGGTGGTAAGACACTTTGTGGGTCACCTGTAACAGATATTCAAAAAATTCTAAATGGGTTGTATTCGTGAGACTCAAAACTAGATGATAAACCTTTAAAATATGCAAATTGTATTATTTTGAAGAGTTTATACCAATTTTTTCAAAAAAGTCGAAAAATCGCTATATTTTTCGGTGGATTTACCCATATATAATAAAAGGGGGGTGGTTTTTAAATATTTTAAAGGTTTATCATCTAGTATTTTGTATATATATTCGAAAAAAATTTGGTTTTTTAAAATCGGTTAAGAAGGTTCGGAGAAAAGTGTCTGACCAATTTGGAAATGATACTTTTGAGAAAAAAAGCATTTAAAGTTTTTTTTACATAATTTTCGTGAATAAAAGGCTGATAATTTTATACTTACGTTTAATCGGCTATTCCTGGTGAATATTGAGGACCCTCTTCATCCAACAGTTGTTGTAAATGGCTTTGTAAAGCTGTAAATTTCAATACAACGTCGCGATGTTTTATAATGCATTCATTTGTTTGACTGGAGTCTCAATTCACACCGCGATTCTGCCAATGTAAGTGTAAAAACGGAACACATCTAGATCGCGTGTCAATGTCAATTCAACGAAAACGTACTTATTTATAAATGTAGATATGAAAATATTTTATAACTAAAAAAATGGTTATGTTTTATTTACCAAAACGGCTTGAAAAAAAGTTGATTTCTAAAATTAAAAATAAAAAGGAATTTTAAAAATAAAATAATTATATTACACTCTTTTTAATTTGAAATTATAAACAATATTTGGAATAATAAATGTATTTGGGTATAAATTTTATAACTCAAATAATACCTAATGAACACAAACAAAATTGATGAAACATTATTTATTATCTGCACAAAACCGGACTTTCAGGAAAAATCGGTAGACGGAGCAACACTGTCGGCGTGCCATATACGCTACTATAAACCGCTGAGGAGAAGTAATCCAGTGGAACAAATAAATTAGTTGTATTAGTTGTAAAACATCACGACGTTATAAAGAAATTTACACTGGTTAATTGCAACGCAGAGAATCTTAGTATTTGTAAAAAATCCTATGTTCCGGATTTAAAATTCCAAATGTGTATAGTAATAGTAACTGCCAAACGTTATACAGATATACATACTATACAAAAATAAATCCATACCCAACGTATATACAAAAGCACAGAATAATAAACAAACAGAATACCCACTCTCCACGGAAAATTAAGTACGCGCATCTCCTCCGCGCAGACGTTCCGCCATGTTTTAGGAGGATTTTAAAGAAATTAGTGTTGTTTATGTGGTGTGCATGGAAAAATTAACCAGGTCTATTTGACTTACGGCAATCATAGACATACTATACAATTATATTAACATTGGTAAATATAATAACATAAATATAATATAACTAAACATAAATATAAACAATTACATAACCACACAAATCATATGTCTGTGTCCTCCTAAAACATGGCGCGCGTGCTGAAAAACTTCAAAGGCGGCATCTGAGAGTGGCCCTTCTGATTGTTTATTATTCTGTGACAAAAGCAAGAATAGCTGGAGCCTCGCGCTCGCCGCGCGGAGAGAAACCGGTTTTCATACGTGCGTAGATGACTTTAATAAAATAATTATAACTTATATTCTAGTGGGAATTCTTTTTAAAATTTTAGGAGGGAGTTTTTGAATGTAAATGGAAGCGATTTATAAAAAAAAATAAAATTGATTTTTTGAAAGTTTCGCATGAGACTGTCCCCTTAATGATTAGATCGGCTGACAAAACTTGAGACTTGAGACTGAGTTTTTTTAGGTTAACAGTTATGCTGCACAAGTACAATTATCCTTAACCCTTTGTGGACGAACTTTTTTTTTGTTTATGTTTAATGGTAAATAATTTGTTTTTAGGACATTTTAGGACAAAAAATAGACAAATCAAAGTTTTTTTATATTACATTTCTGTAGTTAGTACAAAAAAGAAGGTGGTTCCATGTGGAACCACTAAGGCACAAGCAAAAAACTTATTTGGTGTGAAATGGAATAAAACAATTTTTTTTCAGATAGACATAAACCTACTTGACACGTAGTACAGTGCCATCTTGTACGACGATAAGTTGCCTTGGCACTGCAGTGTTTACAACATACTTTGGCCCATGCTGAGGCATATGGGCTACTTTGTCAGTTCTTATTTCTAGAGAAACTTGTTTTTTGAACCTGTTACTGGTGCTTGGTTTGTCCATGCTTCTTCTTCCAAATTTAGGCATTTGGGGGTCTGCTTTAATCAAACCGGTGGCCACAGCAATTTTAAATTCTTTCAAAGACATACTCTTACCAGTTGTTGATTGTTTTGAAAATTATATATGAGTTTAGTAATGTTAGGTCAACAAAATGTGACACATTGACTTTTCTTCAGGTTTGTGAAAATTGCTTAGAAAATAAATGGGTTTTTTATCCATCCATTGCAAAGCTAGCACGCCATCTTCACTCATTCTCCAGTTTGAGTCAACCCTTTTCATTTTTTTATTTGTTTTAAGTTCAGTTGGAAAACCTTTTCTATCTTTTCGAGTTGTTCCACATGCGTAGGTATTGTCTTTTATCAAGTCGCGTTGTAATGCAACAGAATTGAAATAGTTATCGAAATAAACTTCATAATTTGTGTTTCAACTAAATTTCTTGTAAGATCTTTTATTACTCTTGCCCCGAGCTGTTGTTCCCTTACATCGTTTACTTTTCCGGTGTATATTTGGAATTGTAAAACATATCCTGACTGATCAGCACGTACCCATACCTTATATCCTCTTTTTATGGGCTTCATCGGCATATATTGGCGTAAACTATTTCGTCCCTTGAACCATATCATCGATTTGTCTATTGATTGTTGCCTGCTGGGATAAAATGAGCTTTTATAAGTGGTTGAAAGTTCCTCTAGTTGCCATTACTTTTCTTAGGTTTTAATGAATTGTCATTTATATGAAAATGAGTAAGCAACCATCCAAATCTGTCACGCAACATACATGAAGAAATAAACTAATCCCTGATCACAAAATTTGTAGGCCAAAAATCTCTATAACTGGGCAACTTGTTCACACCCATCAAAAGGTTTATTCCCAAAAAACACTTTATTTATTCAAGTGTTGTGGGGGTGTTGTTTTTGTTATTTTCGTGGACTACATATAAATTAGTTTGAGAAACAAGTGTATTCAACATCTCACTAAACAAATGAAGGAAGAAATCAAGAGGAGTCTCTATAGTATCAGGAATATTTGGTCCAACGTTTTCTGAGAAAGGACGGAGTTGAGCGGCATTATTTGGGTCGGTGTCCATTTTAACTCATCAAGAATAGCAACTGGTACCTCGTCACCACAGTCACTGTCATGCGCAACATCTTCATTGTCTAAAATATCGTTTTGTTCATCTAAAACAGCTGACTCCAAAGTCATGTCGAAATCTTCATCCTCATTCTCATCAAAATCGGATACATCAGATCCCTCCGATGGGATATCAGCTAGTAAATGGTAAACGTCATGACTTGTTAATTGACTCAAATCAAGACGTCTTTTCATTTTGGAATTCTGTAACAAAACATAGTTTCTGATCGGCCTAGTGGCACCTATTGGAACCACCAATCAAAATATCAAAATTCACTTAGTTATCTACGTAGTTCATAAAGACTCAATACGGCAATACATAAATACATCTATTTATCAACAAATTAACATAGTACATACCTTTTAGAATGTTTGTTTATGTACAACAATAAATAACCTCACTAGCATTCACTTGTGAGCGCGCCAAATGTATTATGTATAATGTGCACAACTATTCCTGAAATTTTGTTATCGCGTGGGAAGTGAAATCATAATACCGGCCACATCGACGTCTGTTGTTGGTACCAACATCTTACAAGGAAAGTCAAATTATACCTGAAATCAACCATTTGTTTCTAAACATGAATGTATATTTTTAACCAGATGGTCCACATTATAAAAGGGACGTTAGGCAATATTTAACTACAATTTTACCTCAGAGATGGATTGGTTGAACAGGTATGATAAAGTGGCCGGCAAGATCACCCGATTTGACACCACTTAATTTTTCTGTGAGGTTACTTGAAAACCCGCGTTTATATTAACAGACCAACTAAATAGTTTAAAAGATCGCATATTTCGTGAAATGCTGTTAAGTACTTTAGAAATGATTAACAATTCTAATCGCAGCTTTCACGACAGATTGTAGTATTGTAAACAAACAAATGGACAACACTTTGACCACTTTCTGTAAAATACCATGTGTATAAAATTACAATTTTAACCCTATATAAAAAACCTATATATATTTGTAATTTTTTTGTTTTAGGTGCTTTAGCTTATTCAGAATTAGGTACGCTCGTACCTAGATCCGGATCAGAATATGCATACTTCATCGATTCTTTTGGTCCTCTACACAAGTTTTGGGGACATTTGCCAGCGTTTATTTATTCGTGGATTATGATTTTAGTAATTAGACCCGCTGAAATTGCGATTTTGGTTTTAACTTTTTCACAATATTTGTGTCAACCTATCATTGAAGCCTTATGTTTTGTAAATAAAGAAGAAATGAGCGACAATGTATATAAAATCGTTGCCCTGGCTGCCTTAGGTAAATCCATTTTACATAAAAGTTTTAGTTTAATATTTAATGGGTGTTTCTTTCAGAGATATATAACTTCAAACAAACTACAATAATAACGCAATAAAATAGTAATAACACACAATACAAATTTCTGTACACACTGTCGCAATCTCAAAACTACAAAAAATAAGAAAATTTACTCCGAACACCTTTCCGAACCTGACTTTTAAACAAACAGGCCGTTATAAAAAATCGCGGCGGTATTTTTATTGGCTCCCGTTAGCGGGAGCTCGCTACCAATGACCGTCTTAACGTTTCGTTAGCGCGAAATTTAAGTTGAGTTCAACGCCATCAATATCTGGAATAGATCTTTTTAGAATTTGATCAGGTAACGAATGTCTCTCCGAAACATATACTCTTAGAAACCTAGATCTTTTGGAATACATGTAGATTTAGTGTGTACATAAAAAAAACATTCAAGTTGCAATCTGAAGTTATATGAGACCAAATTACTATTTTGAAATCTACAATTAACAATCATATATTTAAATAAATAACGGTTGCGTTTCGATTTAATCTGAGTCTCTTACCATTATCTTACACGTGTTTCTGGATCTACCCCTCATCAAAGAGAGTTTGCAAGAAGACTCAAATCAAAACGCACCGACTACTAAGGCAATTATAGGAAAATCATAATTTTCCGCAAATCGCCAGGAAATTTTGACATTCCTGTCAAAATTTCTTGAAGAAAAAGTCAGGACTTCCTTACTGTAAGGAAATGTCATTTCCCTACTGTAAGGAAATGATATTTCCGTACAGTTGTTAGTGTTCTACATAAATGATAGAAAACACATTGCTTATAAGGAATTCATTTATATTTTGAAAACATCAAGTCATTGCTGAATACATTTTTAAGATCAATTTGTTATATTTACAGTAATTTGACAGTTAGTACAATTATTGAACATTGGAGAAACTATGAGAAACATTTTGGACAACATGCAAGGTGGAAGTGTCATTTTGTTGAATATTTTGTACTGTAAAAATTTTATTTGCCACCTCAACCTTATTGTTAAGCGATTCTTCGATATATCCTTCAGCAACGTTTGATGACTTCCATCCGCCATGCCTCTTTAAACTAGTTATGTCGGCACCAGAGGTCAACCAATATTGTTGCAGAAGACCGACGAAAGCAGTGACCAGTATATTCTGTCGGATTTACCAAGTTCAAATAAGTAGCAATTATTTTGAGCATTTTTCTAAATTGATGAATTCCTACCACTTGTCTACAACTCTTTCCGCTTTGATATTTAAAGAAAAATCGGTCACTGTTCATATTTTCTGGTCTTAACGAAACATACTTTCGATAAACATTCAAGTAGATCTGATTAATTACAAATGATCTTGGTTTGTTGGTTTTCGAATCAGGTATGCTGATTAAAAGCTTAGATTCTAAGTCTTCTATATCGTGTACAGTCATTCGGACTAACTGATCCATTCTACAGGCCCAGAAATACCAAATATTACAGCCACCTAAAAAAATAAATAAAGCTATAATCTAAATGGAAATTAAAACCTTGTAAATTACCTTAATCATTAAATTTTCTTTATCTGGAGCTTCCTGGATAAATTTTTCAATTTCTTCCTTCGTTAAAATCTTAGATTTCTTTGCCCTATAACCTTGAGCTTGCCGTTTCAATAAAGAACGAAGTTTTGAGTATGTAGATATATCTACATTGTATTTAAGTGCAAGGGTTGACTTCAGCATTGAATAATTGGCCCATAATGTTGAAGATTTCATCTTTAAACAAAGGTCTAGGAAGTATGCCATTACAACATTTTCTGAGAAAGAACTCGTATTTTTACTCATGCGATAATCCATAAAACGTCTGTATGCATTTTCGTACTTTTCTCTTGATTTCTTTGGCAATAATTCTAATGAAGCAGTACTCACTGCCTCAACCAGCTCTGGAGGAGTCCCAGGAATGGAAATTTCATCATCACTTATCATTTTACTTTCGAGAACACCAGCAATTAAATATATAAGCGTCAAGTTTGACAATTCAACCTCAATACGTTTCCATAGTAACCCAAGTAATTTTATTAGGAATTTCAAAGCACCATTTATTTGGGAATAAAATTATCGCGTTTTTTTAAAATCAATCAATATCTGTCGAATTTTAAACGATTTGCGGAAAAATAGTATGTTTACCTCGTAGGAAAAGCCACATTCCTGGACTCTGTGTTGCTAAGTCTCGGCTTGCGCCTCGACTTAGCAATCTTCACAGTCGTCCAGGAATGTTAAGCTTTTCCTACCTGGTAAACAATGTACTATTATTGACGATCGTGAAACTGAATCCTGTATTAGTTTACTTTATTGCTTATACTGATTTCTGTGTCTTCATTTTTTAGGAATAACTACTTACATAAATGTAAGTAGTGTGAAACTGTACGTAAAGATACAAAATATATTTGGCTCCTGCAAAGTTATCGCTTGCCTTATTGTGATATGTTGCGGAATTTATCAAATATTTTTAGGTAACTATTTCTTATTTCTCTATTTCTAATATTACGAACAATTACTTACTGATTTGAAAATAAATCAATATTTGATACCCTACTCTATAGCATTTGCTAATAGTAGGTAGTTAAAAATGGAGCACATTTATAAATGTGCTAAAAATGTTTTAAACTTCATCAACAAAATTATCTCTTTTTTTAAGCATTGGGATCGTAGAACAAGGAATTCTCCACATTCGAATACCAATGAGTATTTACGCGAAGAAATTAAAAATAGGATTTTAGGCTCCAAAGTTTCTTATACTTGATATCGACATTGTATGTCAATAGTTTTTTCGTATAATAAATTTCTATAGGTACTTGTTATAAAAAGTCGAGTAAGGTGGCACTTTCGTCTCAGAATCACGATATCGGTCTTAAAATGTCCGATGGTGTAGTTACTCTTAAAATATAAAATCACTTTCCTGTGGTTCTGGTATATCTTCTTTCGCAGGTAGGCGATGATCATGATTATGTGTATTATGTTTACTCCTGCTGTAAAAAAAGTAGTTGGAGAATTTTAGGTTTTCCTAGGATCGTTTCGTACATGGTAACTTATAAAAGCTCGAATTGTGTCACTCTTATCGGTGACAAGGTATTCTACTTTGCGTAACTATCATTATTTCATTGTTCAGTTGTGTTTCTTTTAAAAATATTTTCAAAACTTTATCAATTCTAACTTTATTTACGTAAGATATTTATTAATATCTTTCTGACGAAATTCCCCTTCGTTGGCTCAGTGGAGTTGTTCGTTCAGTTGTAATGGAAACACCAAATAATAGTAGCAGAGTTTATTGATGAGACGTACACTATGGGTGTTGACCCGGGATTACTTTGAGTAGAGACTGTTGCAGTTGATCGCTGAAGACTATCAAGTTTGTTGAGTGAATATTGATTGAATGCTTCTCTAGGCAAAAGATATTAGTTTTATATAAGTCTTAATTGGGTCAATATATTCGCGGGCCTCGCGTGATATGTGTGTCCAATTTATGTAAATTGTTTAACTTTGTCAGCACTTTTGACTGATGTCCAAATTATATTGTTGATAATTGACTAAATCCGTATGTAACCTAATTAAATACGTGTGTGGATTTAATAACAAATAAATTCATTCGGTCTACTGGGTGATAAAATTATACTGTCCAATTTCGGATATGAATTCTGAAGATTTGATATTGGACAGTCCTCATGAATGTTTTTAAATAAATGTTGTTTGCTACCTAATTCGTTACTTCTTTGCGGCGAAAATTCCCAGTCAGGTTTCACAGCTCACTCCTAGTCTTCCCGGTCCTTCTTGCTTCCTTGTAAATGATTTTTCTTCAGGTATCTCGGGGTTTACCTCACCTTCTCATCATTGAGGATTTCAGTTCAAAGCTTTCTTTTCAATACCAGGATCTATTTCTAATAGTGTGGCCAAGTCACCTCTACTTTTATTCCCTTATCTGCATTTCAATATTCATTTGTCCTATCTACCTCCACAATTTTTATTTAAAGTGGTCTTAGGCCACCAAATATTCATGATTCGTTTGAGATTATGATTGATAAAAAATGGTTATTTTTCTATCTACTTTCCAGGTCTCACAACAGAGCAACGAACAAATGGAGCGTTCACCTTTTAACATCTAGGGCCAATCCATTAGCCATTACAAGGCTTCCTAGATATATTAAGAACTCGAGTGCTTTCACTGTCTAATCTCCAATATAAAGGGATTGTCTGTCTATATTTGCTGCCTTCAATTTTATCTCCTTGATCTTAGAAGTATTGATTCTAAGATTCTAATGCTCCAATAAATGAACTTTGATAAAATGAAAGGCAGATATCGAGCACAATTTTATTAATTTGATTTGAGCAAGATTTGACTAATAAAATTGTGCTGGATATCTGCCTTTCATTTTATCAAAGTTCATTTAATATAAGTTTCATGTCTTGTCTACTAATAGTAGGTCCTCCAGATTACTGCTTAAATCTGACTAATTTCCCCTCCCTCTAGTTTTAATGACCTTCCACATGACAGCACTAACTAGAACAAAGTGAGTGAAATAATCCATCTTTGCCTGATTCCAGAATTCATGGTGATAGCATTTGACAGCTTGCCCTGATATGACACAAAATTGAAATCCTTCATACATTTCTCTTAAAATGTTAATTATATTTTGAGTTATAGCATACTGCTCCAAAACATTAAATAATACACATTTGAATCATGAATGTGTTGCCTGTGTGAGTCCATTTCAAATAGGTAAAAAGAAATAAATAAGACTTACTCACAATCAGTTTATAAGACAGCACCTTAATATGGGCTTTTATAATTTCAGCATTTAATTTACTTTGTACCGACTGACCTGAAGATGCTTTGCAAATTGTAGAAAGCTAAACTGGTCGTCTTGGTAGTTAAATTAAACTGATTGTAAGTCTTATTTATTTCTTTTTACTTAATACACATTTGTTTAACAGAATCGAAAGATTGCTTCCTGGATTTCCCTGTTTTACGCCTTGACAGATATTTTGGAATTTATTTTATGTAGATTTACCCTTTTAATTTTTTCGGCACAAGTAAAGAGCATTTTATGTGTTCCTAAGTGAATTTTCCATTTCCCCTAAATAGTTTAAATTACTAACGGTGTTAATTTTGCAGTTATTATTGTGAGTTATATATTTTAGGAAACATAAGTAATTTAACTAAGGGTTTTGAAGGAACAACAACATCACCGAAAGACTTTGCTTTGGCATTCTACAGTGGTTTATGGGCCTATGATGGGTGGTAAGCATTTATCATTCAAAAATTCAATTTTATTTATCAGATGGAAAAAGTAGGTACACGACAATGCATGTTAGAACTCTTGCAGATGTTTTTTTTTTAACAGATAAAGAATTGTAAATGACCCACAAGGGATCTATATCAAAATAGATTATGTCAACATTCATGACAAGCTACGACTAATAATTACCTTAGTACAGAATGTAAAAACATCAAGATTTACATAGACAATGCAGCAAAGGAATCAATAGAAAAAACACACAGCACAAAACTATGATGGTCGAGCAAAGTACTACAAATAGCAATAAACGAGATGCTTATCTAGGACTCATACAAAAGATACACAATTTTTAGAAAATGATCTACATCTGGTAGCGATGATACACTCAATATACCAGCACATCTGTCTGCTTTTTTTGCAACAGGCCAATGCCTCTCCAACGAATGTAAATCTAACACAGTTTAGACTCCAGACCTGTATGTAGACACCTTCATGACAAGCTAAGCAACACTAAGGTGTTTATTTGAAATAGCAGTATAAGCAATAGTTAATAAACCTTATAATTGATAATAAGGCTAAAAAGAATATCTGACGATGAGATCTACTGAGAACCAATGGAAGAGTCAATATTAGTTAACCAAATAAAACTAAAAATGCATGAAAGTGTGATATTACAATATAAAAATAAATAGTTAGAAACCAGCAACATAAAAATAGCATATCACTACAGACCTAAATGTACTTAAAACACCTCTTTCTTTATAACCATTAATATGTAATCAATATTTCTAAAAATTGCAAAAAAAAAGATTATTAAGGTTTATACTTTTTATTATAAATATTTTATCAATATTCTTAATCATATAAAATCCACATATTTGAAAATTCTGTTACTGAAGTAAAATTAATGATACATATATGTAAAACAATAAATATATTTAAAACAAGATGAATTAAGATCTAAATAGGTATTAAATACTTCATCAGAACATGTAATAACAATAATGATTGGTTAAAAAATATCCTTTCAATGGATTTGTACACAAATTTAACCTAATTAATAAAAGTGTACACCTAGAAGCTCCAGAATAAATAAATTTTCATAATTAAAAAATATAATTTTTGTATTATAGAGCATTAAAAAATTCCGTTGACCTCAGATCTCAATAATCATTTAAAGCTAGATTTATATCTAAAACGATATACTAAAATACAGTATTATATACCTATAACTATTTAACAAAGACACTCAATGCTCTTATTGTATTGATTTCTGTTTTCGCAGTTCTTCTCTGTGTTTTACACCAGAATCTAAAAAGTATATGGAAGAGGGTTTGATTAAACTTGTAGCAAATACAATACCATCACCATATTTCTTCTGTAATTTCACTTTTAATGTTTTCATTGACATAGAGCCATCATTCGGTAGGTTATCTTCAACTCGTGCCAATAAGTCTTTTAGTGTAAACTGCCTCTCTTCAGATTGATTAATAAACTCACAAACCTAAAAGATAAACAGAAAAATAAAACAAATTTTTTTTAGCTGTAAATTATATTAATTTTTGAATTTTTTCCTCTTACTTTTTCAAAAGCTGAAATTAAATTCTGATCTTCTGGTCGTCCCTTTTTCGTAGTTTTTGAGGGTGTGTAGAATAATTGCATATAGCACTGTTTATGGTATCGAGCCTTCATCAATACCAAATTCACATTTTTGATCCGTTCTACAATCTGACGACCAAAATCGTCATTTCTTTTACTAGCCTTTTCTAAAAATTTATCCTTTAAACTCGGTGCCGTGCATTCTCTAAAACTTTTAGAATCTTTTGACTTTAAATGTGTTTCTTTGCCACAAAGGCAACATCTTGTTTTAAAACTAAAATGATTCACTACAGATTTCCCTTCCAATTTTGTTTCATTATTTGGTTTGGCCTGGTCAAAAAGAAGCTTAATATTATCTTTATTTGTATATTCTACTTTACAATTTTTGTGAACTTGAACCACTTCAACATTCTTTAGTAATTCGTGTTTTCCATCTTTTCTTGATTTACTAGCAGCCACTACATTCGGTATTCCTTTTCCTACAAACTCAGTTTCACCTTCGGTAAATGGTTTTTCGCAAATAAAACATTTTGTTGGATCCATCTTACTTTAAAGTTTGAAATAAAAATTTATTGTTTTTGTTGACACAAATGACAGCTGCCGCGTCCGTAATTTAACCTAATTCTTCTTTTTTATTTTGCCTTTTGACTAAATGTATACACAACCAGGAGGATGAAGGATTAAATTTATTATCCACAAATGGTGAAATAATGATGAATTACTAATTAAATACTTTTTTTATTTTTACACAATTGCAATTTTTAATTACAATATGTTTTAGGTCATCAGTTACAGTTATTACAGAAGAACTGAAGAAACCTGAAGTGTAAGTATGGCTATTAAAAATATATATTCTCTATGTTAGATAATCTATTTAAATAATTTTACGTTTTATATATTTTTTCAATAAATCACTACCCCTTTCAGCAATATTCCAAGAAGCATTTATATAGCTGTTCCTTTGGTAACAATTTTGTACGTTTTTATGAATATTTCTTATATGACTGTATTAACTCCTAGCGAAATGATAAACGCGCAAGCAGTTGCTGTAACATTCGGCGAAAGAATTCTTGGAAAGTTTTCCATCATCATACCAATAGGTGTTGCTCTCAGTACGTTTGGTTGTGCCCTTAGTTTACAATTTGGAGTAACGAGGTAAAGTATTTATTTATTACAGTAAAAATAATAAATTTTCATATTACTCTTGTTATTTGAATAAAAATAGATATTATTTAACTAAAACAAGGCTTAGAATATAAAACCTTGTAAAAGAGCTTATATGATACAAGTATTATTGCGATTTTGAGACGGAAGTAGCCATCTTACTCAATATTTTATAACATAATTTATTTTTATACTTCGTAGCTTGCGATATCTTCTCTTTTCCATTGCCTGAGGGCACTAATTATTAATTATAAATAAGAACAGGCATTTATTTCTTTTTTAGATTATGCTACGTATCTGGACAAGATGGGTTTATGCTCGAGAGTTTATCATACGTTCACTACAAAAGACTAACTCCTGCACCAGCTGTTGTTCTACAAGGTTTTATATCATTTTTATTTATTTCCACTGGCGAAATTTTAGATTTAATCGAATTCGCCAGCTTTTTGATATGGTTCTTTTATGGAGTGGCTATGGTATCACTAATCGTTATGAGGACAACCATGAAGGATGCTCGAAGACCTTATAAAGTAAGAAATTAATCATTAAGTAAAATATAAGCAATGTGTTAAAAATGTAATATTAATTTTTTAGTTTTGGACACAGATCTCCCCTTGTCGCCTCTACCAATGTTTCTTATATCGCCATAGTCTTAAACTTATCCTGCAATTCCTACCATTTTCTTGATTGCTTTATTTGTTCCCGGTCCATTCGTGTCAAATAAGAAGCTAGAAATATCCAGGAATATCGTCATGTATACCCGAAGTTGAATCAGTTTAGTTTCCACTTGTCTTCACGTCACAGATTAGCGACCATCCGAGCATGAAGATCTCTACACGACTTGACAGCGATATTCGCGGATAATTATATCTGGTCAATTTCGACAGTATGGAGTATTCTTAATCTCGATTTGACGAGGTACTCGTCTAGAGTCATTTGTTGTTATTGAATAAGTACTTCGGTGAAACCCTTAAGTGTGTTGTTTAGGATTTTCTCATAGATTTTATGGGTGCTTCTCTTACCTTTTAGATTTCCGTTGTTTTTCATAGATCTGGGATTTTGTAGGGTAGACCGGGGGAATCCCGACATACGGGGCAATACCGACACCGTGGGTTTCGGTTTTATTTTTAGTTGAATACATCACTGTATAGTGCTGCTGCTTAGCGAGTGGCACCACAGTTAGCGCTCAGTTAGTTTCTGTCATCCAAGCAAACTAGTTATTTTATTCTGAATTGATATGTGTGTCATTAGTTTTTGATCTAATTATTGACTTCTCTACAAATGAAGGTAACTCTATAACAAATTATATTAATATAAAAACACTTGGATAAATATAAAGTGCAAATTATAAAGATAATTTTAGTGTAGGTCTTATTACGTTTTAACATTCATTTAAGTCTGTAGAATTGTGTAACCGCCATCTTGTTCTACAGGGGTAATGACAGGTAATCGTCAGGTGTCTGTATTTCCCCATTTATTTCAAAATTAAATATGTAGTTATTTGATACCAAAGACGTTGCTTTTGATGTGTTTTAGATGGTGAGATCGAGAAAAAAAAAACAACAGAAAGGGGCAATTGGAACGAGGAGTCACTAAAAATGGCATTTGAATTGGTTCAAAGTGGACGATCCGTAAAAAGTATTGCCGCTAAATTGAATATTCCAAGAATTAAGCTTCACGGCGTCTTAAATCTAATTCTACCGAAAAACCAGGCTTGGGAAGGAAATCGTACTTAAGGAGCTACATTAGCTGATCACATCAAACCAGTTTTATGGAATTACTTTGACAGACTTATGGAGACTTTTAATAAAGGTACCAAAATGGCTGGGGAGGACTAGGTTTTCGGATTTCGTAAGAGGAATACTACCTTAAGCCTAAGACAACCCTTAGCAACAAGTCTGAACCGAGTCATTACATAAACATTACGATTTCCTGCACTTTGAGTGCTTCAGGTGCATACATACCGCCCATGTTTATATATCTTAGGCAGAGAATGTCATCTGAGTAAGAGAAAAGTGGACCAGCTGGAGCCATTTACAAATGCTGCCATAATGGCTGGTCAAATGAAGACCTCTTCATGGAGTGGCTCACACATTTCAAACACAACGTAAAACCAACAAAGGAAGATCCCGTCTTATTGATCATGGACCATCACGGGAGTTACATATCTCTTGATAGTTATAATTATTGTAGATCCAATCACATACGTGTTCAATACCACCTCACACATCACATAAACTACAGCCTTTGGATTCGTCGTTCTATGGCCCCCTGAAGAAAGCATTCAACATACAGTGTGACAGGTTTTTGAGGGAAAACCAATTTCATAAGATTTCTATGTATGACATAGTATCTATATTTAATGAAGCTTACTTAAATGATGGATAAAGGAGTTTCAAAGATTAGTGTTTCAGGTATCTTACCGTACAGCCCTGAAAAATTTACTGAACTAAACAAGATACTCAAACTCGAGTCATCGTTACCTCTGAAAATGTTTATGAAACAGCACTTGGTGCAACTCTTCATGAACACAATCATAATGTCACTGGGGAGCTTGCAAGCGTAAACAAGACTTGTGTTAAAACTTGGCAGATTTTAAAACATAATCCAAAAGATACGGTACAGAAATTTGGAACCAAGACAACAGCCAGCTTATATTTAAGTGGTAATTATGAAAATCCATTACCTGGTAGTTCGAAAACGAATGTACCAAATTCTTGTCCAAAATCGTCTGAGAATCTGTCATTTTAAAGATATTTTAGAATCAGCATCAACGCTTCCAAAATAGGCACCCCCATGAAAATGGTTTTGGAAGACACAAAGAAGAAAAAAGAAATTAAGGACTTAATAGCCAAGCGTATACTAGAAAAAGTTATACAGGATCCAAAGGTCAACTCTAATCTGAAGTTAAAAATCTTGAGTGAAAAAAGTAGACTACGCAAAGCTACAAACAAACGAAGAATCGTCTTCCGAAGAAGATATAGATGAATCAAAAATATGTGATGACAACGAATTTGATGACTGTTTTAAATTATTTTCCGAAAACACTGAAATGTGTTTAGTGTGTGTGTTGAGTTTGGTGTAAAAACTGAACTATGGTACAGAACTATCAGTATGACTTTTTGTTCTACGAACTAAGTACTTTGTTGTAGAAACAACTTTTGATTTTTAATATATCTACTTATGTATTTGCTTATCTTGTTATCGTTCAAGTATTTATTGTTTTCATATATAGCGATACCGTCAGCTCTCATTATTTTCTTATTATTACTACTGTCGGCATTACCCCAAACGTCTGTCAGAATTACCCCGCTGATGGGGGAAGTACCGACACTCTTCTATAGTTAAGGAACTATTGTTTTTAAATACGTAAATGTCATTGTTTTACCAATATTACATACTCAATAGATGTGGAAAATTCCAATTATAGTATAGGTATTTTCATCAAAAACCTAACTAATATAGAATAAATCTGAAAATTCAAATTGTCTTAAGGTGTCCGGATTCCCCCGGTCTACCCTATCATTGTCAGCACCTTCCCCTAGAGGGGAAGCATAACTTTCATATTGTCTACATACGAAGCGATGGTTTTTAATTTAATTTATATTATTTAATATACACTTCTATAAGAAATTAACGCACCACTTCAATAAATGAGTTTTTATTTGTAAACAGCAAAGAATAAAAAATATAACTTCACCAGATTTATTCTGTTAAAATGTTGAAGTACATAAGGAAAAAAAATAAAACTGAAAATTCTAAAAAAATAATGATCAGTAAAGTAAACTGAAATATAAAAAAAAGTCTTAATAACGAGTGTTTCCACCTCTACTACGGATAACAGCCTCATATCGTTTGCCCATACATAAAATTAATTGTCGTATTTCATTTGGTCTAGTACTCTTCAAATCTGGATCAGCCTCTCTCCCACTTCTCTAAGTTGTTTGGTTGGCTAAGGATATCCCAGAGATTTTCAATCGGATTTAAATCTGGACTATGTGCTGAAAATTCCATAGTGTTAATTTCTACCTCTTCTAGATAAGTTCTGACCATCTGTGCAGCGTGAGGTCTGGCATTATCTTGTATTAGTAAGAAATTTTCACCGATATAAGGAGCGAATGGTACTATATGTTGCTCCAGGATCTCCAATATGTACCTTTCAGCGGTAACAGTTCCATTTTGTATGACTACTAGGTCCGTACGTGCGGTTAAAGAAATACCACCCTACACCATAACGGATCCTCCACCAAAAAATGTAATGTGTGAGAAGTTACACAGAGCATATCGTTCGTTGGATCGTCGCAACACACGAACACGTCTGTCGTTATTGTACAAACAAAATCGGGATTCATCAGTAAATAGCACTCGTTCCCAGTCAGCTTCTAACCAATTAACGTGTTCTCTGGCAAAATGTAGTCTCCCCCTTCGATGCTCTGCAGTTAATAGAGGACCTCGGGCGGCAATCCTAGGTATTAAGTTGTATTCCCCAAGTCGCTGGCGAACAGTTTCAGTACTAATTTGTATAGCATGCATGTCTCAAAGCTGAATTTGTAGACTTCGATGTGTTACACAACGTTGTCGAAGAGCAGAAATTCTTAAAAATCGATCTTGAATAGGGGTAGTTACCCGGTTTCGTCCTTGCCCTGGTCTGCGAGTATGATCCCCTGTTTCGAGGAATCTTTCTAATACCCGTGAGACGGATGTGTGGGACACATTAAACCGATGACCAATTCTTTGGTAACTCCAACCTTCTTCCGATAGTATCACTGATTGGGCACATAAAATTCGTGAACACTTATTAGTATATTTATAGAATTAGTACATTTTTTTCTTCTTTTTGTTTTGTTGCAAAAAAAAACTATAGCGATAAAACACAGTCAATAAATATAGAGTGTACGAATAGCATATACAAGGGGCTTGCAAAATATAATATTACAATGGACATTTTTATTAACGCCAATAAAATATTTTAATATTTCAAAGTGGTGCGTTAATTTCTTGGAGAAGTGTAATATAAAGATAGTACTACTAGATTTTTGTTTCAATACAGAGCGGCGGCAACTGCTTATACGTATTTCGACCTCTTTAGATCTCGTCAGAGCAGTATAGCCACCTCTCTGGATCGAAACAAAATATATTCCCGTCCGTATATAGTTATTTTATAACTATTGTTTAATGTGGCTATACCGCTCTGAAGAGATCTAAAGAAGTCGAAATACGTATAAGCAGTTGCCGCCGCTCTGTATTGAAACAAAAATCTAGTACCGTCTTTATATTTTATTTCTTTACTCCGTTTGGAGTACCAGAAATTGAATTCACTACGAATTTTGACCATGATGAACGGCAGGTGGAATGCAATTTTAGATTTCCTTGTCGAGTTATTTATCAAGCTGTTTGCTTTGCAAGTTTTAGAAAGCACGGTGGTCAAAATTTTAATTCGATTTCGCCAGGTAGAAATCGTTTGATTTCTCTTTTTGTTTTTTATATTATTTAATTTTAATTTACTTTATTTTATTTCATTAAGAAACACGCATGAGACTGCGTTTACTACTACACGTAGTCTGTGGTCGCGTGATCTGTTGTTTCATTGCGTTTCAGTCTTTTTTTCGTACCTCTGCGTTCCGCTCCGTCCATAGCTTGCGTTCCAACAATATACATTTATGTTAAATTATTTGTAGTGTTTATTATTAGGCTAAGAACCACTATTATTATTTTTTTTCTTATATCATTTTCTCTTTATAACATTACAGGTGCCGATTATAATACCAGCATTTATCTTATTAGTTTCATTATATTTAAGTATAATTCCCATAGTTTTGGAACCTTCTCCCAAATACTTGATGGCACTAGGATTTATGCTGATAGGAGCGTTTGTATACTATTGGTGTGTATACAAAAACAGAAGGCCTTCGACTGTTATGGGTATGTATTTAAAACTATGCAACAATAGCTTATTAAGAAAATAGACATTAGTTCACGGACATAAAGAGTTTAAAGGAGATAAAAAAAGTACAGCACTTTGTCACAGTGGTGTCTTCTTCTTCACTCGCTTTACAACTCGGGGTGAGTCTTCGCCGCATCCACTATCGCCCTCCATCCTCTACGATCTTGCGTTTCTATTTCCAATTTTGTACCCCAATTTTAGATAAGTCACCTAGAATATCTTCCGAATATGGTGTGATTCTCTTTAGCAAGATAATTGATAGCACTTTATATGATGTGCTAATAAGCGATATGCCTCTATAGTTTCGGAATTGTTCTGTTTCCTGTCTTATATATGGTAATTATAACGCTTCCATTCCATTCTCTAGGCATTTTCTGTTGTTTCCACTCTCTCAGAATGATATATTACAATTTTAGTTGTAAAAGGTTTCCTCCTACTCAGTGGTGTATACAAACTTAAATGTGGCGACTGCCCAAAAACTTATGTAGGTCAAACAGGTAGAACTATTAACAAACGTATAGCAGAACACAAAAGGGCTTTAATGACAGAAAAACACATTCTAGGTACGCACTTCACCTTCTAGAACTATAATCATTCTTTTAATGACCAATTTCAAATTCTTCACATTCAAAATAAAGGCTAAAAGCTAAAGCTATCTTTAGTAGAATCTATGGAAATTAACAAATTAAAAAATACAGATATAATTCTCAATCACCAATTTAAGACAGTTCTCTCCTCCTCAAATTATTAAGCTGAAGACTATTAAACACATACCAAAAATAGATCACTTGAGAAGGGCACTCAGCCGAAACAGCTGTAGTGAAAATAAATTGTAATAAATTTTTTGAAAGTGTTAAAAACAAAAGTTTTCAGTATTTTATTGTTAGATTTACTTATTTATTAATATCATATACTTGACATTTTAGTCGTTCTATGACATGACACTTGGACATTGACAGATGTCATGGGACGTTACTCACTTCATTACTTACGGAGTTACGTTATGTAGGTTACAACACACATGTTTTTAATTAGTGAAATAAAGGAACTAAAATACATTCAACACCATTTTCATTACATTACACGTACATATACAACAATTAAAAATATCGTTTTTTTTTCAGATAAAATCACCAAATGGGTTCAACTTCTTTTTTGCGTTGTGCCTCCGGAATCAGATTAAAACTTTGATACAATATATTTATAATAAATATGCCTTTTATTTAATTTTTTATAATAAAACTTAACCTAATTTTAATTCATATCACTGTCAAAATTACTCCTGCTCTCCTCGTCGGTTCCTAAACCTTCCTCGTTTTCTTCCTTTATCGCTCGATTCATGGACTCGAAGCTGTCAGTGGTGTCTTCGTTATCACTATCTACGTCTTTAGACTTGTCGTTTCCCATAGAAGATATGTCTTCACCGTGGGATAGACAATAATTTTCGGCATCGCGATATATAACCATTGGATGCGTCAGAGGATGGCAGTTGTTGGCATACATTTGAGACACGAAGCAATCTGTACAGAAGTTTGTGAGTTTGGGACACACTAGACACGACCAACGGCTACCAACAATCGGTTCAGCAGAACAATAATCGCACTAAAATAACAAAAAAGTGTTACACAGGTTATTTTATAATTTTTAGAAACTAAAGGTATGTAAAAAAACCTACAATCAAGTAAAAACCTCTATTGTATTTTTATATTTTATTGTATTTATTTTTTATAGACACTTGCAAACAGTGTAGAAACCTTTGAAGTAGATTTTAAAATTGAAACGACAATGTCAATGATTTAAGATTTAACCGAAAGGGAACATACTGACATTTAATTGAAAAGGCGAGCAGGTCTGGTCTGTGATAATATAAAGTAATTAATATAAAAATACACCAGAAAATAATGTGTAATTTACCTTAAACTCAATATGTTGGAAACAATTCTCGTACGCCCTTTCTTGTAGTTTTATTTCTTTGACTTTCTTCAGCAACTGTACCTGAATTTCTGCTTTACCTTTGCCCATCATTTCATTACCATTAAGGTACTCCGGTTCCACTAGACAATTCGACGGTGTCGCAGGTTCTTCTGCAGGGTGGTGACTGGAGCTAGGACCTGGCATATCTTCCATCTCGTCCATGATAACAGGAGGGTTAAATTTGGGAAAGAAAGTTGACGGTTTATATAAATAGTAGTTATGGCGTTGGTGTTTGTGCAAAAACGATTTCTGGAATAGAATATGGAAAAAATACGAAAGTTAAGTAAATTAAATAAAGAGTGAAGTCAAAGAAAGAGTGACATTTATTTGAGATGTTGGCAAACGTGTTATGTATAACATATGCCGCCAAAAATTGGCTAATATTCAGACCCAGAGATCAGAATACATTTTTCAAAAGGTTTTTTGTGTTCTGAATCCGAATATGAACTCCAAATTGTCAAATTGGCTCTAATTTCCGAGATTCTAACCTAAAAGTGCAAAATAGCGGTTTTTGGTTGTTTTGAAGGTCAGGTAGTATTTTCATAAAATTTTTTTTTCCGAAACTGTTCTCTTCTTTTTTCGCTGACACATAACATTTTAAATACTCTTCTCTAAAGTTTTAAAAAATCTCAAAACTAATAATTATATAGTATAATGAAAAAATCTAAATTCAGAAATCCCAAATAAAACCTTATTCCAACAAACCTGAAGACCCAAAATACAACAATCTCAATCCTACACACCTTAAACTCAACCAACCCCTAGAAACCATCCCTTCCAGTCCTTGACACAAAGCAGTCCCTGCATATTTTCCTAATGGACCGGGTTTATCAACCACATGACCTTCCCATTGATCATTTAGGTCACGTGGTCAAAAAAGGGCTGCTTTGCATCAGTTTTCTCTGTCGCACTGGGGGAACGAAGCTGTATTGTAACGCTCAGTTTCTCGCCGGGTCTACATCACCCCAAAAATGGTCAAAAACCGCTATTTTTGCACTTGTAGGTTATCTCAGAAACCAGAGCCAATCCGGCAATTTGGAGATCAGATTCGTATTAAGCGAACCAAAAAACTTTGGAAAAGTATGTTCTGTTCTTTTTATTTCTTAATTTATACAGGATGTGCCAAATCTCCGGTTTTCTTTTGGCACAGCTAAAATATGATTTACATAGAAAATGTTTACAAAAAAGTTGATCTATATCAAAGAAGTCTATAATTTAAAATTATTATACAGGGTCTGTCAGAACAATAGAATGAATCAAAGTTGTTTTTAAATGGAACATCCTGTATATTAAACCATTTTTGAATCTATTAAAAATATAAGGAGTTTATATAAGATTTTATATGTTAATATCTTTGAGTACTAGTTATACAATATACAGTGTGATCACTTTGGAAAAACTTTTTAATGGAACACATTGAAAAAAAAATATTAAGTTGAAACAAAAATTTTTGGCAAATATTTTATTTTCTGACGAATCGACATTTCCTACACACCTATTTCGAATTACATCACAGAACCACTGGTTGCTGAACATTTGGGGAGGCATTTATTGGACTTTAAAAAAAAACAAGAACTGCACACCACTAGATTTTGATTGGTGCTAAATTTGAAAGTTTAATTTTTTAGTGGTTAGTAAATTAAAAAAAAAAATGAAAACCTAAGCGGAAAATCAGTGTTTGAATTTCTATGTCACTTAGTATATTTTACTAAAGGTAGTTGTATTAATACATCATCCACTTACCTTAATTTTATCAACAGATTTTGGCAATCTCCCTGGAATGGGTAAACCAGCTTGATACAGTTTCAAAAAATATTTCTGAATTCTGCTGGCAACTTGAGCAGGAGATCGAGTCCCTAGAAGAATATAAGAACTTATAGTCAGGTAGCCATGATTGACAAACATTTTGAAGAGAATTTCTTAAATTACAATTACTTTTAAATATTCAATCATTACTACAAATATTAAAAGTATTATTGCGAGTACACAATAGTGCCTAAAAAACTATAACAACTGTATGAAAACCATGAAACCAAAAATGTTTACACAGATATACACCAAGCACATCTAAATAAGCAACTTCAAAAGGCAATTAGTTACCTACTTAAAATAATGTATTCTTTGTACTGTACCTAATTCTTTGGCTATTTTCTTGAACCTTCTCCTTTCAATCGGTTCCGGTGGATATTTTAGAAGCAATTCTTCTAACTTCTTCTGCTCCTCTGAAGTCCAAGCCTTAAAGAAAGTTATACAGGAATAATTTTTATAGAATATTCAAATATAAAAAAATGTGGCAAATATAAATTAGAAAGAAAGTTACTGTGTATATAAGCATCGAATGAGATAAGTAGACTATCACACAATGCACAGACTCATAAAGAAACAATAACATCGTGTAACCGAAACGGCTGACAGTTTCAATAATTTCGTCAATAAAAAGTAAATTTTTTATCACAAAACGTAAACAATTCCATTAATTTGTCAACATCGTCAAAATTGCCAAAATTCATTATCTGGACCAATCATTCAAGAGAAGGCAAATATGTTAATCTTATTTGCATATTTAGAGATAATTCTGAAATGAGATTTCTGAGAAGAAATGTGGAAGGCACTACAAGACTTTTATAGACAGGGGTTACCTCCAAAAATAGCTTTACCAGCAACATTTGAAAATTTTGTAAACTTTTCAAAGTGAAAGAATGCAGAACAAAAAATAAGTATCCCATTTTTGAGCCATATTTTTTGGTTTAACTTCAAATTATTAGAAACATACAGAATATATTTATATATTCTGTATAAGATATTTGATTTCTCATAAGTAAATTTTCAGACCATTATTTTTATAGCTTTTTGGCTTTACATTTTTTTTGCAAAATATCACTTTTGTCACAGATATGATACTTTTCCAGATATTTTGAATAAAATCCAAGTTCTGCCTCACCACAGCCAATTTAAGCTTTTTTCTGTATAGAGCTATACAATAGCACATTAAATAAATCAATATTAAATGATAAAAGTCCTAAAAAAATATTACAATACATTTTTCATTACTAAAAACATGTGTTACTTACATTATTGCCTTCATATTTTGACTTGTCTGTTGCTTTCTTGAGTTCATCTTCTACTTGAACAGCTGGAGTTGTCTCTGAATATATTAGATCTATTTCTGATTGAGGAAGTTTCACATCATAGTTTTCAAATTTAATTACTGGCAGCTAAAAACATTACTAATTATTAAAAAAAAATGATCATCAGAAAAGTGAAAAGTGTTATAATGCTCAATATATTAGAAAAAAGATTAGTTTTTTATTTAGAAAAACAGATATTTCTCAATTTAGACACTTTGATTAAATATTGCATGTCAAATGCTTCTCTAGTAATAGGATTTGGTCCTGTTGTGAATTTTTAAAAAATCTATATACAAAATCACCTCTTAATTTGACTAAAAAAATTAATTGAGTTTATAACAAATCGCCCTTTGATTTCCTTTGAAGTCACAAAACACAATAACCATAAACTCCATCAAAGTGTCATCTGTTGTAGCAGATACATACAGAAAATTTTCTGGGTTCTTCTTAAAATAAGATTGATTTCACATTTGTGTATAATTGGCATTTAACATATATGGAAGTTACCTTTCAAATAGCAATTTCTTTGTATAGATTATAAGTCTGATGTTCTAGCCCCTCACACCACTTAGTATTTATGTTTTTGTTTGTTGTAAAACATCCAAAACAAGGAACTGTGTTGGGACTGACTGAAATTTATTTGATGGTAAAATATACTTATTGTAAACTAAGTATCAGAGATGATTTGTCTCACAATTAATGCTTGATAATACCTATTTACTTGACAATCATAACATTCATCCTCTTGAATATTAGTGAGATTAACTCACCAATGGAGTCTGCTAAAAATGTGTTAGTGTAAAATTTAAAATCAAAAGTGAATTTTCTTTAGTGTACAATAGGAGAATATCTTTGCACTAGTTCTATATGTACTAGACACATGCTAATAAATTAGCCTACAGGTAACTCTGCTATCATCTTAAATTATGATGTTCCTGTTGTAGCATGTTTTATATTTGAATAGAATCTAAAGATAATTGAAGGAATTGCTAAAAAAGGGAATTTAATAAATATATACAAAATAGGGAAAACTGCTTTTGATTACAGCATATTAATTAACTATTTTTAAAGATTACCTTTGCTAGCTCCATCCTATCAGGCAATTGCATACCCAAATCTTCTTTATTTACAAATTTCTTAAATAAATCGTGAGTATCTTCCAAGGCACGCCTTTTTACTTCAACAACTTGATTATAATCCTAGAAAATATTTTGCATGCTTACATATTTATATACAATTTATAAGTATATACATTTTAAATCAAATATGGGGCTAAAATTACAACAAATATGTATCAAAAATATCAAGTATAATGGAGACACGCCTCAAAAGATCTAAAATTAAATAAATTTTGTAAACCATTGAAATGAGAAATAAATAAATATAATTATAAAAAAACCTCCATATATCCTTTTTTGCCTTAATTTCTATGAGGATTTGGTTCATTTACTACATTTCTCCATAAGTTTGTATGCCCTAACTATTTCAACATTTGCTCTCCTCCAACATTCATTTTAGACTGCTCATCTTCGCAACAATTGTTCCCCTTTTTTAGTTGCCCAACATTCAGTGACATTCATCATAGATGGTGTTTATGACAGTTTTGCAATTAAATATTTCCATCACTCAAGATACCCTTTTGCCTACTTTCATTTCAATTCCATATCCACAAATTTTCTCATTACTTGTAATACCAAAGAATTTCATATTCAGTTTACCTTCTGAAGTTATTATCTTACTTGTACCTTTTTTAAATGATAATTCTAGATACTGTTTTTGTCCTATCAAGCTTTAAGCTTGTTTCAATAAGAGCTTGTATCCACTGTTTTAGTCTTTGTTCTGATTCCCTTTTAATAGTCTCTACTAAAGCCAAACCTTTTTACTATTAGCACGAAGGAATGTAACATTCAAATTCTGCTTTTATATGATCTTACACTAATACAAATAATATATAGGTAATCCTCTAGTCTAGAATGTGAAAGGAGTATAGTGTGAAAGATAAGAATGAATTTGTAACAAAAAAAAAAACATGAATCAAATGATCAGTAAATTCTTAAAAGAGGAATGATTGAAGATAAATGAATAAAAGTAAAAGAAATGTTCACATCCATCATCAACTACCAAAACTTAAACCAATACATTAAATATTAGGAGCCCGTATGTATTAAATGCGTAATCAATTAATTGTGTCAATGTGGTTAATAATTTGATGAAAGTTTCCAGTATTAGGTAATACTGGATAATCAGAAACTATCTTCTATTATATCTAATATCTTCAATTAGACAATAGTGCAAATGAGGCAGACAACTTAGTAATTATCCAAATTGAGAAACTTTTGAGTCATGTTGTAATTCAAACCCCTTAATTAATAAAAATAGTAATTTGAACTCACCTTTATTAATCTTTCTCTTTGAGCTACAAGAATATATAAAGTTTTAAGAACATCACAATAATCTTTATTGCCTTTTAAAGCTAAATGTTCGGATTCAAAGAAGAAGCAGTCTTCTTCATTTGTATTAATATTTGAAGTCATTTTACCAAGTAAACAAAATACAATATCAATTCAAAATTCAAAACAAATATAAGCTATTATAAATTATAAGCCCCTTTATTTTTATTGTTTATACATATTTTGACTTTTAACGTATGACAGAATTGACAGATGATGTAGAACAGTAAAGTCGACTTTACACTATATGATTTATCATACGACAATATCATATGAGATTGGTTATGATTCCTCGTTTCTATGATGTTTTAAAAAATCATGTTTACACTGAATAAGTTGTGACTTATGTCGACTTTACACTACACGATTTTATCATATAACAATATCATATGAGATTTGTTATGATTCCTCGTTTCTATGATGTTTTAAAAAATCGTGTTTACACTCAATGATAAAGCTGGATTTATAGTTTGACGCACTGTAGACGTAGACGCACTGGAGACGTAACAAACGGACTGTAAATATAATTTCAATTTATAAATCGACGGAGTGGAATTTTTGCGCATGAGTAGAAACAGCGGCTAGAGTTAGTGACCACGATATTATAATATCATTTTATTAGTCTTTATTATTATTTTATAAATTCTTAACCTTCATTGTAACAAATAATCAACAAAATAAAAATTCGAATATGTTGATAAGCAACTTTACAAAATTGTGGGCGTGCCAGACAGTTCATTTTGGTTGACAGCACAAAATTCTTCCTTTTGATTGGCCAGACGCAAGAAACGCACTGTAAAAGATGAAAGTTGACCAACTCTTCCGTTACAGTGCGTTTCGCTTACGTCCCGTCTTGCGTTTACGTTCATTTATAAATAAGAGTACACAAAAGTCAATGTTGATCTTTTTCCAGTGCGTCTGCGTCTACAGTCCGTCAAACTATAAATCCAGCTTAAGTAGTTATGACTTATCATATATGAGTGGCAATGATGTTTTATTGATTTTTCTTTTTGTTTATGGTCATAGAGATATTAGTAACAACTATTAGATTTTTAACCTATTATAATGGAAAATAAATCTTTGCTTGCATTGGCTTCCAAACTTTTAATAATAATACACCGGCAACAACTGAGTACAGCACAGAATGTAGTACAGCTATTAGTAAGAAGAAAATCTCAGACGCCGTTGGGCTCGCAGGTGGCTCTTCCGAAGAAGTAGTGGACAGGGTGTATCAAATTTAGTCTTGATATTATACCAAATTAGAAATAATGAATAAAGAAACTAAAGTAAAACCCTGACTAAGATGACTATAAAACACTAAACTAAGAATAAAAGAATAAAATAAACTAAATAAATAATAAAAGAAACATACTACACAATAGCACAGATTAGACAATAGGCTCAATATCAATGCAACAAACAAAAATAAATAAATAAAGAATGTTATTTCACTGAATTGACATAAGACTAAGGGGCGGTATTTAAATATGTTGGTGTTACCGGTATTATTACCGAAAATGATATGATTTTATCATGCGGAATAGATACTGTCCTATTATTCTCCTGTGACAAGCCATGACGAGGCGCATGGCAGTGCTTATCATGATACAAATACAAATATGTATCGTGTATCCTTATATCATGAGTGCTTATGACAAAATCATATAATAAATCACACAGTGTAAACCTGAAAATTTGACTTCATGACCAAATCATATGACAAATCACATGATAAATCATGTAGTGTAAAGCCGACTTTAGAAAAAGAAATTTGTTATGACATTTAATATGTCAATTGTCATAACTTTGAGCTAGCTATCCCTCAATCCCTCTGTAATGTTCGTTTAGGAATCTGTTTGTTTTGAGTTTTATATTGTTATATTTAATGAAAAAGACAAGATTTTACATTTAGTACAATTTAGAGCGAGTTGTTAGTGTATAATATTTAATGTTAAACTTTTTCTATAACTCGAACAATGTCTTTTCATAGAGGTAATACCAATCCTGATTTTCCTTTGGAAGCTTTAAAAGTTCATGGGCCAAATTATCTAAAACATGCTCTTACCAGCTGTACTGATCCTTTGAAAGCTATTGAAGAATTTCAGGTAGGTTTTCAGACTAGCACATAGTCTTAATAGGGGAAGTTTTTAAAGAGAACTTAAGACTCTTCCAAGTTGCATGTGGGAACATATTGTTCAGTTGATTTGATAATTTACATTAGACCACTGTTAGAAGAAGGCAATTGGAGTATGTATTTCATGATAATAGAATAAGATATTGTGGATTAAAAATTTGTTCATTTTGATAAAGACCTTACAACTATAATAAAAGCTGAGCTTTAGTACAACTCATCTTTTTTTACCTTTATCTCAAACTCCTTCCAGGAACTTGCAATTTGGCAATTATTTGTATTGCGTAATTATTATCTTCATATTGAACATGCTCTCTCATTTTGATATCAATTCATATCACATCCTAGAGTTCATTCTTAATTGGATTTTTTTTCTCACTCCACCTATCCATTTCTAGCACTTGTATTCTTTGTTTGCCTTTCTTTTTAGCTGCCCAACAGTAAGTTCTATATATTCAGTTCCATATATTCAGTTCCATATATATGTTTATATAATTATAACTGCATTTCATTCATACATTAATGGCAAGTTTTGATTTGAATTTGTATTCTTTATCTTTTAAGCTAACAAATGGAATACTCTTACCATCACTGAGGCCTATGCTTCCATTGTTAGATCTGCATGGAGTTAGAAGACTGGATTTTCACATGTCTGTAGTAGAGGTAAATATTTACAAATCATATTCATTGTATTTTCTTTTATAAATAATGTTAATATTTTAGGAGCTAAGAGAAAAACTGATAAACCATATTAATGAGATTGGGAAGCAAGAAGGTAAAGAGCGTGATCACAAACTGAGAGAACTATTAGTGAAAAGTTTTCCAGTAATAAGGGTTAAAGCTATGAGGCCCATTGTTATGGCTATTTTGAAAAATATTCCTCAGATTGAGGACCACTATTTAAAGGTGTTAGTCAGAGATAGAGAACTATATTTAGATACAGATACAGAAGTAAAAAGACAGATATGGAAGGACAATCAGTCTCTTTTTGGAGATGAAGTGTCACCTTTACTCAGCCAATACATTAGTGAGAAGGAAAATGTACTATTTGATCATTCAAATTTAGCAACACAGTTTTTTGGACCTTCACCAAAGGTTTGTTTATATGTACTGAATTTATTTGAATATCTGTAAACTATATTGCAGTTATCAAAAAATGTATTTTATTCTAAAACATGAATTCAAACAAAAGGTTTGTTTATATGGTTTCTAGACTTGGTCTGATGATTCCTTTGTTATATATATGTGGATACCAATATGACTTAACATAAACTGGAAGTTCATCTCTGGTGCTTTATTTGGTTATTATTTGCATGATGGAATTGTTCTTCTTCATTTAGATGATTAGTTCTTACTGGTGTTCATTGGTGTTACTGGTTAGCTTCATCCAGGCAAGTTGATTATATCTGACAGTGGAATTTTCTCTTAGGATGGTACTGTCAACTTCCTGTCTTGGTAGACGGTTATACCTGATCTTTGTTTTACTGACAATCTGATGGGTGTAATTGTTTGGGGCTCTAGCTGGACTGTAATTGCATTTTTCTGTAACATTATAGTAATAGAAAAGAGTAGTTTGGGTAACATCGAGATTTGCTTTCAGAAGTTTAAGTTTATTGAGGATGATAAGACCATCAAATGTATATGAAATTTGAAAATATAAAATTTTAAGTTTATATCAGAGTTAAATTCAGGAAACATTGGAATTTCTACACAATAATTTTTCAAATGATTGTAATAAATTGAAGTAACTATAAATGGTTCCTTTTTAATATTATTTTTGCAGAATTTATTGGCTATATCAGGATTAAGAAAATATTTAGTGTCTCCGGTATGAATAAGAAGTTTAAGAGGAGTTTAAGGCGAGCTCCCTTATACTAAAATTTCTGAAAAGCTTTCTTTTGTCTGCATAGGAATGCAAATCTATTACGTTTCTTTCTTTTCTTCTTAAAATCTTTGAAAATTGACATCTTCTTTATATTCTTGGCTTTCTTGTTCATAGTAAGGGTCATTTTAGTATGCGCTATTGTATATATGTTCATTGTAGTTTTTTTCTTGTGTTGTTTGATATTAAAGAGCTCTTCTACAGTAAATCTGGGGCCGGTTGTTTATTAAAAACAGAAGTTTATTTGAAATTGGGATCTTTTAAGGCCTGTTTTGGCTTGTGCATATGATCCTATCGTTGAGATGGAACTGATTTAGGAACAGAGGGGTTGGAATATCCCTCTTGGCATATTTGTAAATGGCTATCGTTGTAAGAACATTATGAAAGGGTTTATGTGTTAAATTGTATTAGAATTAGAGTTAAATGGTATTAGAATTAGAAGTAAGATTCAAATTTGCTTATAGGTATAGGATAATGCTTGGAAGTATCCCTTTTTTGTACAGGTTTTCTTTTTTTTGTACTATCTTCATAAATATGTTTCTGTGCCAATTTCTATGGAATCTGTGGTTTAAACAGCTGTAGTTTTCCCTGGATATTAGTTTGGTATCGAGTAATCATTTAAAAACGTTGAGAATCTTCTGGAGACTCGTCCCTTTTAAGGATACAACTAACAAAGTAATAGCTCTTTTATTTAATAAATTACAATGGATTTTAAAACAGAAATTTACAATATTTATATGAAATTAATTGATAATGACCTATCTGTGATTTATGTTGAAATTATTGATTGACTGGGTTATTGGTCTTCAATACTGCTGTAGTATGGGGTTATTGCACCATAATTCAGGCTTATAAGAGGTATCAGTTCACTAGTTTGGATTTTAAAGTTATCTCTTTGTGACATTTATCAGATTTCGCATCCATAAAACAGGGCAAGTGTCAGCATTGTCTTGTATTGTATATTGGTGTGACTAGCAAGCCCTTTACCTCACCTATTTTAAGGATTTACCTCACAATGGTATGTAGTGAAGTAATGAACAATTTTCTTCTTTAAATAAGCCGTTTTGACAACATATTTCTTAAATTCTGGTATATGAACCTTCACAAGATTTAATAATTGTACTTTCAACATTATCTTCAAACTGAGTGCATTTTCTTCCTGAGGTTTATATTTTTTTCAAAATAT